TGAATGTAACTGTACTGTATCCCTAAAATGTACCAATAAACTCAATAAAATTAAAAAAAAAATTAGGAACAAGACAAGATGCCCACTATCACCACTCCTGTTCAATATAGGTCTGGAAACATTAGCCACAGCAATTAGACATGAGAAAGAAATTAAAGCAATAAAGATAGGAAAGGGAGAAGTTAAGCTGTCATTATTTGCTGATGATATGACACTCTACATAGAAGACGCCCAAAAATCTGCCCAACACTTCTAGACTTAATTGACACTTTCAACACAGTACTTGGGTACAAGGTCAACACTCAAAAATCAATAGCCTTCTTGTACACAACAGACTCACTGAGAGAGAAATTAGGGAAATAATTCCTTTCACAATTGCATACAAAAAAATGAAGTATCTAGGAATCAATCTAATGAAAGAAGCAAAAGACCTCTACACTGAAAACTATAGCTCTCTGAAAAAAGAGATCAAAGAGGATATGAGAAAATGGAAAGATATCCCCTGCTCCTGGGTAGGAAGAATCAACATAGTGAAAATGACCATACTACCAAAACTGCTATACAGATTTAATGCAGTATTGATTGAAATTCCAACAGTATATTTCACAGAACTAGAGAAAATAATCCAAAAATTCATGTGGAACCAGAAGAGACCTAGAACAGCAAAAGCAATTCTAGGCAACAGAGACATGGCAGTGGCTATAACAATTCCCAATTTGAAACTATACTACAAAGCCACTGTGATAAAAACAGCATGGTCATGGCAAAGAAAACGACCTGAGATCGTTTCTTGGCCTTTTGGGTAAGATCAAGTGTAGTGTCTGTTCTTAGCAGAAAAAGACCTGAGAATTAGTAGAATAGATTGGAAGATACAGAAACAGCTCCAGATGTACTCAACTACCCCATCTTTGACAAAGCCAACCATCCTCACTGGAGGAAAGATAAACTCTTTAATAAATGGTGTTGGAAAAACTGGATTTCAATTTGCCAAAGATTAAAACTAGACCCTTATCTTTCACCATGCACTAAACTAAAATCCAAGTGGATTAAAGATATAAATATTAAAAAAGAAACACTTAACTTGCTGGAAGGTAAGTTAGGTAGAACTCTCAAAGACATTGGCATAGGAAAAAACTTTATGAACAAATCCTAAGTAGCATGAGAACTAGCACAAAGAATCAACAAGTGGGATATCATCTTATTAAAAAGCTTCTGCACTACAAAAGAAACCACCAACAGAGCTAAGAGACAACCTACAATGTGGAAAAAAATTTTTACCAGCTGCTCCTCAGACATAGGACTATTATCTAGAATATATAAAGAACTTAAAAAAATTAGGCCCCTTAAATATAAAGACGCAATTCAAAAAAATGGGCATCTGAAATGAACAAACATTTTTCAAAGAAGTAAAAGCAGCAAATAAATACATAAAATAATGTTCAACATCTTTGCCTCTCTTCATATGCTCTCCTAACAGCTTTTCTGAGTGACCTGAGCTTGTGATGTTCTTCAGGGCAGCAACAACCAACACTTTATTTTCTTTAGAACTACCCTTGCCTCTGTGTCTTTAAATGCTAGTGATGTTGCATGAGTCCTTCCACCTCTATTCCACCCTGGTCTCTCAAAGCGGAGGCCTCAGTCATTGTGATGCTGCAGCACAGATAGCATCACTGTTGCACTTCCAGTGAAACCCTTTGTTGTCTGGCTCGGTAGAGAGTAATTGCAGAGAATCCCAGCACGATACTCCAGTGGACCACTGGTGATACCAGATGACTTAGTTTGAGGTGCCCCAGAAAGAGGCCCTAAGGAAAGGACTTGAGGTCAAGTCATTTAGGAGGTGAACTCAGAAAACACCAGTTATGCAACGGGAAATGAGAAAGGGAAGAAAAGGAAGTGAAAAAGGAGTATACTACTACATAGGTTGCTGCAAAGGGAAACTAAGGCTTAATTCCTCTGGAGAACTCTGGGAAACAACACAGAATATAGGCCTCAGAGTTTGTCCAACCAAGGGGTGAGGGAACTGGGTGTTTGTATTGATTTATTAGACTGGTTCTAAAAGGTACCATAAACTGGGTACCTGTGGTGGATTAGGTAACAGTCAACTTGGAATGCCCAGCAGAACTGAGTCAGTGTGGTTCTGGGTGTAGAAGACTTACCTGTGGATTGTTTTCAAAGGCATAAAAAGAAAACCCGAGAGGAAGATCTTATGCCGTTGATATTCCTGGAGAACCTTGCTGCGGCTGATGTTCCTGGTGTGCATGTGACTGTTCTCCTTATCATTGGAGCTCAGGTCCTTGCTAAAACTGGTAATGGCTGCTGTTTGAATCAGGGGAGCTCTGATCTTCACCTTGAGTGTCGCCTCCTGGCTCCAGTGCAGATTCCTCAGCCTGGTGGCAGAGATCCTTTACCTCAGTGGAGCAGGCTTTCTAGCTTCCACTGTTGGCCTTTGAATCTTCCCGGTACAGATCCTCAATATGGACTTTCATGGGACATTGCCATGGGCTCTAGGCCTCTGGCTGGACTCATGGAGGACATTACCTCGGGCTCCTGGCCTTGGACTTGTGTGGGGCATTGCCATGGGATCCAGGCCCTGGGCTGGATTCTTCAGGTCTCTAGTATGTGGACAGATCTCTTGCATCCCTCTGCATTTGACATTTTTGGTGAATATTATAAAATAATACTATAAATTATGTGTCCTGTATTAAATATAGTCCTTTGCAAACCCTGACTACAACAGTGGCTTAAACATCAGAAATTTATTGTTTTAGAGGTCCAGTATCAAGGTGTAGTCAGGGCTGCTTCATTCTGAGGACTGTGCAGAAAAGATCTGTTCTCAACCTTATTTTTTGCATTGTAGATGACCATTTTTTCTGTTCATTTTTTTCCTCCAACACCTTTCTTCTATGCATTTCCTGAGTCCAAATTGTCCCCTCTTTAAAGGACAACAGTCATGTTGGATCAGGGAGCTATCCTTATGATCTCATTTTAACTTGGTTACCTTTGTAAATATGCCCTGTCCAAATAAGGGTACATTCTAGGGGTTTGGGCTTCATCATATCAACTTGGGGAGGTGACACAATTCAACCCATAGCTATATTGATATGCCAACCTCCATGTGTCACTGGTAGAAGACTGCCTAAGCCTGCCATGCATGTGGCCAAATGGAGCCCTGAGACAAGGAAATGCTGGCCTTTGGAATATGGGGTTACACACTCAGAAATGTCAGTGCCACAATGTATGAGTGGGCCATACTTATATGTCTGGTGCTTTGGTGATACATATAAGTATTTCTATAACTAATTTAACTTAAAAAAGTGACAATTACGAAAGGGACAAATCTAATTTTTTGCTGCCTATGAGAATAAAAATCTGTTAATGCAAGAGGCTCCATCTAAGGAGAGTGCACAATTTTTGGTAGTTGCTTGTTCTGTAAGCTGTCTCAAGAAACTGAATTTAGAAGTAACATGATTACTTTCAATTTTACAAAATATATTTTGTAATAGAAAACGAAGAAATGCTTCCTGCAGAGAGACATACAGGAAGTAGTGAACTGCAGTATTTGTAGAATGAATGACTTCTCAGAAATCCCCTGAAAAAGGGTTTACTACTGGAGAATTGCCATCAGGTGGCAACAGAGACCATAAAATGGCATTTTTCTAAGGGCGTTAAGGGAGGTGTAGAGGAAATCAACCCAGGGATGCTTCCTGAATTGAGCAGCTTTCATGGAACCCCCGTGATAACAAACGCTGTATCAGACCCTGGCTGATTTATGTATCATAGTCATATTCAATGCTGTAATGCCATAGTATGAGATTATAAAGTAGCTGAAATTCTCAAAGTTGTAGGAAAATTACTACACAGTATTGGAGGTAAATCTGGTACATATTTTATCAAAACTAAAAACAAAAATAAAAAACAAGAAAGACTATCTTAGTTTCAAAAGGTAGACACAGAGGTGCTCGCCATAACAATCCTGGCACTACAGAGGCAGAAGCAGGATCACGAGTTCGAGGACAATCTAGGTAACACAGCGAGATCCCTGTCTCTAAGGACTAACACAACAAAGCAAAAACAAAACTTAGAGGAAATCAACCCAGGGCTGCTTCCTGAATTGAGCAGCTTTCATGGAACCCCTGTGATAACAAACGCTGTATCAGACCCTGGCTGATTTATGTATCATAGTCATATTCAATGCTGTAATGCCATAGTATGAGATTATAAAGTAGCTGAAATTCTCAAAGTTGTAGGAAAATTACTACACAGTATTGGAGGTAAATCTGGTACATATTTTATCAAAACTAAAAACAAAAATAAAAAACAAGAAAGACTATCTTAGTTTCAAAAGGTAGACACAGAGGTGCTCGCCATAACAATCCTGGCACTACAGAGGCAGAAGCAGGATCACGAGTTCGAGGACAATCTAGGGTAACACAGCGAGATCCCTGTCTCTAAGGACTAACACAACAAAGCAAAAACAAAAAACAAAAACACTAACCAACGAAAAAAAATTAATTTCCGTGACATCACCCTCCCCCCTTTCTTTTGAGGCAGGGTTCTACAAATTGGTCGGTGGATTGACCTCAGAATCAGTAAGTAGTCCAGGCTACCCTCAAACTCGCGATCCCACTGCCTCCACTCTCTAGAGTGCTGGGGTTATGCGTGAGTCGCCTGGCAGGCTTTATCATTCTAAAGAGCAGAATAAAATGAAGTGCACTTCTGAAGGGTTTCGGTTTCTTTCCTTGAGCGCAGTGACGATCTAAATTGAAGATGACTGGGTCTGATCAGCAGGGAGAACCGTTCCCTTCACCTACTAAGAACCATTCAGCCTACAGCAGAGCGGAGCTCGAGCGGAGAATCTCTTCACTTTGGAAGGGGATGGGGAACGGGGGGCGTGGCCTAGACAGGGGCGGGGCCGCACTCCGCCAGTGAAAATGCTTCCTGGCTTGGTTTGACCCACCTCGCGGCCCGTAGAATCTCCGAGTTGCCGCCTTCTGTCGGCGATTGGTGGAGATCCGCTCATGTGACCTCCAGGTGGCCGGAACAGGGGAGGCTATGTGAAGCGCAGGGTTTTGACCAAAACAAACGCCGACAGCTCGGAGGCAGAGTCTATGGCCGAGGCCGTGAAGCCCCAGCGCCGGGCCAAGGCCAAGACCAGCCGGACTAAACCCAAGGTGAGGATCCTGCCCGCCCTACCAAGGCCTTGTCCTGTGCGCTCTGCTTCCGTCTCTCTTTCTGCCCTCTCCAGATAGTTCTACTCGCATTCCTCGAGTTTGTATCCTCCGCCTCCTTCCAGTGGTTGATCCCACCACCCGTTGACGTCGGCTCTGCACTCATTCCTCTTCCACGTCCGCGTACCACACTTTTTCAGGAGCTCACTTTACCTTCTGCTTGGCTCTGACCTCACTGGGCTCTTCTTTTTTTGCTCCCTCCTTGCCTTTCTTCCCCGAGGCCTGGTTTCCTGCTGTGAAGCAGCCATTTTTTCTCCCAGTCCCATCTCCGACTCCCTCTTTTCACCTTTGTAACGTGGAAACATTTTCCGTCCCTCCCATGCGTAAAGAAGGACTGGACCTCTGTGTGTGGAGAAGTTTTTTTTTTGTTTGTTTGTTTGTTTTTTTTTTGTGTGTGTGTGTGTGTAGCAATTTTATATATATAGAGAGAGCTATAAAGTAAACTGTAGTGATGTGCCAATCTTCTTCACTTTGAAAATTCAGGGCCCACTGATGCTGCTATTTATTGATCATTGTCCTGGTTGTTTACGATACAGCATGAATGTCTGGATGTTAACTTAGGGGCAGGACTTTCACAGTAGTAACCCTGCTACCTGGTTAGATTACATGCAGCATTAGTGTGGTTTTAAACTGATTTGCTCTTAGATGGAGTCTGGATTTTCATTTTGATCTGTATATTTAATATAGCGGACCCCTGAAAGGCTTTACCTGGAATAGAATTTACATGAAGGAAACAATGACGATTGGGTTTTTTTTTTTTTTGTGTGTGTGTGTGTGTGTGTAGCAATTTTATATATAGAGAGAGAGCTATAAAGTAAACTGTAGTGATGTGCTAATCTTCTTCACTTTGAAAATTCAGGGCCCACTGATGCTGCTATTTATTTATCATTGTCCTGGTTGTTTACGATACGGCATGAATGTCTGGATGTTAATTTAGGGGCAGGACTTTCACAGTAGTAACCCTGCTACCTGGTTAGATTACATGCAGCATTAGTGTGGTTTTAAACTGATTTGCTCTTAGATGGAGTCTGGATTTTCATTTTGATCTGTATATTTAATATAGCGGACCCCTGAAAGGCTTTACCTGGAATAGAATTTACATGAAGGAAACAATGACGATGGTATGACAAGTACAGTGAATTTCCTTTCTTAGAAGTGGATTATGTTCCAGGGCAGGTTCTGATGCCGTAATCTGATTTTTTTCATGGGAACAAAATTTTAATGTGTGAGCATAGGTACCGTATTTAATAAACTGTAGTCATCCTTTTTACTATGATGACTTTTTATAAAGCTATATGGAGTTAAGCACATCAGTGTACCCAGGTCTGCAAAGTGTTACTCTTTGGTGTAGTAAATCTCCGAGGGCTGGGATTAAAGGCACAGATGTTATTAAGAAAAATGATTTTGTTTTGTTTTGGTTTGGCAAATGACTATCCAGGCAGCAGGGGAAGAAAAAATAGTCACTGGCCAGTCATACATAGGATCACTGAACGCAGAGCCAAGTATATACATACCCATTATCTGTCGAAAACAGAATCTTAACTTCTAGTTTTCTCCAAACAAAAGATGAAACCAAAGTTTACAGACGTTAAATGATAGACCCAAATCATCTAGTTAGAAAGAAAACTCAGGTTAAAGCCAGAAATCGTGACTCTCCAGTAGTTTCATAATTATTTCATATATATCTATCTGCCCATAGATAGAATGTTATAAATGTAAAACAGTAGAAGGGATCTGTTCAAGTTATTTTGTGTAAGGGAATTTTTAAATTAAAAATCTTACGCTTTTAAATTACTCACGAAAAGCCAATTATTTTATTGACACATTTCAGGCAGCATTGCTGTACAAATATATGATAATTAAAAAAATTTTATAATGCAGACTTGTAGTGTCTAATGATTACATTCATTATGAGGAATGGTATATATACCTAATACAACTTCTTTCTACATCCTCTTGCCTTCCCTCCTGGCTTCCTTTTTCCCCTACTCTACTTCCCCCTACTTTCATCTCTTTTTTCTCCCTCTTATTTTTTTCTTTTATTTTGCTCTTTATTTCTGTTTTGTATTTCTCATTTAAGAGAAACAGTGCAACCATCAGCTTGTATGTCTTCCCTTAACCTTATGGTCTCAAGGTGCCTCCATTTCCTACAGATGACTCAAGTTTATCAACTTCATTGTGACAGATTAATACTCTCTGGTATATAAATACCGCATTTTTAGCCAGGCATGGTGGCACACGCCTGTAATCCCAATACTTGGGAGCCTGAAGTAGGAAGATCATGTGAGTTCAAGGACAATCTGAATTAACATGTTGAGCTCTTGTCTCAAAAAAACCAAAAACCACGCCAACCAAAACCCCAGCACATTGTCCCTTTCCATTCATCCATTTATCTGACGGTCATAGGGCCACTTCTAAGATTTAGATATTTTGAATGGTGTTGCTATAATTGTGGGTTGTATGTATCGCTGTAATATGATTACTTTAAATCTTTTTGGGTGTATACCTAGAAGGAGAATAGCTGGGTGGAATGGAATTTGTTTCAGTTTTTTGAACTATGTTACTGATTTCTGTAGTGGTTTCACTAGTTTACATTGCCACCAACAATAAGGAAATATTTCTTTTTCCCCTGAACCCTTACCAGAACTTGTTGTTACCTGATTTTTTGATGATAGCCATTCTTTCTAGAGTAATGGAGTCTCAGTGTTCTTTTTTGGATTTTTTACACAGGGGCTCACTATGTAGTTGAGACTGACCTGGAACTCACTATATATCCCAGGCTGGTCTCGAACTCACAGCGATCCTTCTGCCTCAGCCTCCCCGCCGAGTGCTGGGATACAGGCATGTGCCACCACACCCTGTTTTTTTTTTTTTTTTTTTTTTTTTTTTTTTTTTTTTTTTTTTTTTTTTTTTTTTTTGAGATAGGGACTTGCTAGGCAGTTCTGGCTGTCCTTGAATTCACTATGTAGCTCAGGCAGGCCTCAAACTCAGAAGTCCTGCTTTGGCCTTCCCAGTGCTGGGATTACAGGTATGTGCTACCACACCTTGCAGATTTGTGTGTAATGGCCAGAGAGGCTGAACATTTTGTCATGTATTTATTGGCCATTTATATTTTCTTCTTTTGAGACATGTCTTCATTTTAGTTGCCCATTTTTTTGATTGGGTCTTTTATTTTGGAGATTCTCGTTTTTTTGAATTATTTTTATATTCCAGATATTAGTCCTCTGAGGAGTGGCTGCTGGCAAAATATTTTTTACCATTCTGTAGGTTATCTCTTCATTCTTTTGATAGTTTCCTTTGCTGTGCAGAAGCTTTTTAATTCCATATGGACCCTCCCCCTCAAAGTTCCGTATGGTCCCATTTGTTGATAATTTTTTTTGGGGGGGGTACCAGGGATGGAACTCGGGACCTTGCATTTTCGAGGCAGGCGGTGGGGAGGGGCACTGAGCTAAAACCCAGCCCATGATTCCATGTGTTGATTCATGTATATCTCTGTACAATTGGGATTCTATCTAGAAAGTCTTTGCCTATGGCTATGTCTTTAAGAGTTCTACCTATTTTATCTTCCAGCAGATTAAGTGATTCTATTCTATTCTACGTGATGTTATTTTTTTGGTACTTGGAATTGGACCCAGGGCCTTGTGCTTGCCAGGCAGGTGCTGTACTGATGAGCTACATCCCCAGTCCTCTGTGTTAATATTTAGATCTTTGATCCATTTTGATTTTAGTTTAGTACATGGTGAGAGATACGGGTCTAGTTCAGTCGTCTACATGTGGAAAGCCACTTTTCCCAGCACCGTTTATTAGAGGCTATCTTTCCTTCAGTATAAGTTCTGGGCCCCTTTGATAAAGAATGTGCTTAGAGTTGTCTCCATATCTTATATTCTGTTCCATTGGTACACATGTCTTTTTTTTCCCACCTGACAAAACCATGCTGTTTTTAATCACTGTGGCTTTATAGTATAACTTGAAGTCTAAAATTGTGATGCTTCCTGCCTTGCCTTGTTGCCTAGGATTGCTTTTGCTATTAGTCTCTTCAGGTTACATACCTGAATTTTAGGACCATTGTCTCTAATTGTATGAGGAATTCTATGCATTAAATCCATATATTAGTTTTGAAAGTATGGCCATTTGGCTATATTGGTTCTATCTATTCAGAAACAGAGGATATCTTTCCATTTTCTGATGTTCTCTTAAATCTCCTTTTTAAGAATACTGTTGTAGAACCCTTTCACTTCCTTGGTTAGATTAATTCCTAGGTATTTAATTGTTCCTGATGCTATTGTGAAAGGTATTGTTTCCCTAATTTCTTTTTTGGTGAGTTTATTATTATTGTACAGGAATGCTGTAATTTTTGTTTATTGACTTTGTATCCTGCTATGTTGCTGAATTTGGTTATTCTAGGAATCTTTTGATGAATTTTTTTGGTCTTCTATGTAGAGGATCATGTCATCTGCAAATACTGTGTAATTTGACTTCTTCCTTTCCTACTCATATTCCTTTAATTTTTTTCTCATGTGTGATTGCTGTACTGTTTCAAGAACTTCTCTGAATAGTAGTTGTGATAACAGACATCTTTGTTTTGTTCTTGATTTTAGAGGGAAGCTTTCAGCTTTTCCCCATTTAATACGATGTTGACTGTTGTTTCATCATGAATGGCTTTTGTTAGATTGAGTTAAGGTCCTTTTATATCTGTTTTCTTCAAAGTTTTTATGAATGGAAGTTGGATTTTGTCAGATGCTTTTTCTGCATCTGTTGAGATAATCATGAGAATTTTCTCCTTGCTTTTGTTTATTTGGTGTATTACATTTACTGATGTGCATATGTTGAACCATCCCTGTATCCCTGGGATGAAGCTTACTTGATCCAAAGGTATGATCTTTTTAATGATTTGTTGCATTGTTTGTCAATACCTTATTGGAGATTTTTCCATTAGTGTTCAT